TATCGGTCGTGTCGGTCGCATATGTCATGTCGGTTGTATCGGTCGTGTCGGTCGTATTTGTCGTAACGGTCGTCTGTCGTATTTGTCGTATCGGCCGTGTCGGTCGTATTTGTCGTGTCGGTCGTATTTGTCGCATCGGTCATATTTGTCGCATCGGTCGTATTTGTCGCATCGGTCCTATTTGTCGCATCGGTCGTATTTGTCGCATCTGTCCTATCGATCGTATTTGTCGTATCGATCGTGTCTGTCGTATCGGTCGTGTCGGTCGTATTTGTCGTCTCGATCGTATGCAGCTCGATCGGTGTGCAGAGTCTATGTCAGATTCTTACACCACCCCGTTCCTACCCCTGCCTTTCGAGCCCCGGCCCCGGCAACCCGTTAAGCCCTCCGCGGGTCCGTATCAGCATCAGCCCTATTGGGCCCTCCCATCCGTGGTGGTGTGATGGCTCTATGAGGCGCGCGCGGAACGCGCCGCGCCGTACGCTCGATAATATTAGTGTAGCTGTAGATTTATTTGTGTGACCAGCTGATGTATCATCGACTATACTATATACCATAACCACCATGACGATTTCTTTACTTCAAAATATTATCGTCAACATCATCGGCAGTCTATAAATGTCCACTGCGAAAGATGCGAAAGATGAGTTTATTGTCCGATAATATTTCGGTTTTACGAAAAAAGTATGGAGTCTTTTTTTATGAAATAACCCGGTTAACGAGCAGACAGATCGCCTGATGGTAAGCAACCGGCATCGCCCATGGACACCTGGAACAGTTGATAGATTTGTTCAGACGCTGAATATACACGCTGACATATTAATGGTTGTTTTCCCGCAGCAGAACGATTTCCCTTTAGTAGTACTATCGAATAATGCAAGTTACTTTTTGAAAAAATATTTTTTTTTCTCCTCATATACTCAAAAAAATAATCATCAACTCGAAAGCATGAGAAACGATAGTTTCTCTTCTAAAATGTGACGTCAAATCAATGTTCATAGTAAAATAATCTCTCGGACTAAGTAATACAGCATAAACTGCAATGCACGCGCGCGCGAGCGGATCGCCTCACGACAAACAACAAAGGCAACCACCGCGCTCTCTGTCACTCGCATCGGCCCGCATCGCCTCGCATCGCTTTCATTCACACCAGTCGCACCGCGAACGCCGTCCGCGCAACCACGCAAGCGCAGTACAATATTATTGCCGCCAAAATGGATCGCCATTACGTTTTTTCTAATGTGGAGTACGTAGCTATGGTGCAATTGTACGCGAGGGCGAATTATGATTTTTGGGCTTTTAATAACCCACACGTTATTCGGGAATGTGCGCATCAAGTGCGGTTTAGTGTAAACGTGTGGGCCGGTATAATAAACGGCTGCTTAATTGGTCCGCATTTTGTGACAGGACACTTAACCGGTGAAACGTACCTACAAATGCTACGTAGTGTTATCCCGGACTTACTAGATGACATTCCGTTAGCAGTGCCCATGGATGGCCTGTATTACCAGCACGATGGTTGCCCTGCGCATTATCAGCGCGCCGTGCGAGAGCACCTCGACTCGGTGTTTCCCCAGCGTTGGATCGGTCGTGGCGGGCCAGTGCCATGGCCACCACGAAGCCCGGATCTTACTCCACTAGACTTTTATTTGTGGTCTAATCTCAAACGCCTTGTGTATCGGCAAGAGTACGAAACTCGCGACGCGTTAAAAAGTGCGATAGTGGACGCTTTTGATGTGATTAGACGTGACAGAGACACATTATTAAAATTGAAAGCCAATCAGTTAAAACGTGCACGATTGTGTGTGGAACGCGGTGGCTTACACTTTGAACAATTGCTCCGTTACCGGGAAGTGTAAGTACTTGTACATTTGTAAATAAAACAATAAGATAGGTGATTAAAATCATTGTAAATACGTTGATTCCCATTTTTTAAATACGCCATAAATACTTTCCCAAATTCAGTAATAAACAAGATAATATCTCTTGATTAAATTTTGTTTTATGTTTGTGTTTAGTAAGTGTAGTTAAAAAGTATTTACGACGGTCCTAAGCCCGTTAAAGTATGAAGGGAAAATGGAAATCACTTGTTAGTAAATACTGAGTTATCAGCCTTTTGATAAGCGCGAGCGACAATGACAGCGGCCGGTGGCCGGTCGCGGCGGTACTATTGGTTCGCGGTTTCTTTCAAGTTTCGTGTATCACTATCGTAAAACTGCTATTTTTTTATTTAAATTAAAAACAACTTTCTCAATCTATTGTACTACTAAAATAGAATTATTTTACTATGGGAAAACAACCATTAAAATATCACGGTGTAGACTAACATATACGAAAACTGGACAGTTCTGGAAATATTAAATATTACATACATTGGGGTTGAATTCATTAAAACGAAACTTAAAAACTAAAAAGGAAAAAAATAACTATTAGTGGTCATACGTACTTATATCTTAGGTACACACCCACTGATAAGTACCTACTGATAGGTTACCCACCCACTGATGGGTTAGAAGTCGGTGCCATATGAATTTTTATTTGTAGCCAGTAAGTACAACTTGCTAACCATGTGTACATAGTAAATAGTCCATTCAATAAGAATTATACCTCCAAGCAATCAAGCATTGTTATTTTTTGTATTTTTTTATTTGTAGCCAGCACAACCTGCTAACCGTGTGTACACAGTCCCGAAGCCGACAGTAGCGAGTGTACCAAAACCAAAGCCTCCTGCGCCTGTAAAGGTAAGTACCTACCTACGTACGAATACATCGATATAGCATAAGGACCTAAGTGTTAGTACAGAGAAGTACGCGCTCTTCTATGATAGTTAGTAGGTACATAAATAAATTCTATACATATAAAAAAATTCAATAAATGCTATAGGTATGTAAAAATTTTGTTCTTAGGTAAGTACCCAATATGATGTTAATAATTCTAACTAGGTACTGTGAACTACACCTTAATGGACGTTGCCATTAGTCATTACTATGAAAGATTAATATTAATATGATATCCTACGCGTGGCTCCCGTTTTCATGATCATCACTAATACTCAGAATCAGAATATTTATTTGTGACCACCTGTGTCGGGTTGCCCACCTATTGACAAAATTGAGAACACCTAAAAGCTGCTCTTAATTATCTTAATAATCTTTCAGGAGAAATTGGTGCCTTTATATGGAGAGTACAAATGCGGCAGTTGTAAAAACTTTTGGGTTAGCCGTCTGTCGTGGCCCAACAGATATCAACAGTGTCGGCGTTGCAAGTCATACGCGCGTCCAAAAAATCAGGTAAGTTTATTAAAATTAACGAGTTGATGACTATCTAATGTGTTAATCTAATCTAACTAATAGGTTGGGTACATACCTATCCACCTTCGAGATGCCATAATGTAGGTACCTACCTGCGGTTGGTTATATATTTATCATTTAACAAAACATCCTCAAACGCTACTTACCCAGTTACTTACTTATTCTAGTTTTTTACGTGTCACTTATAAAACATGCACATTTTTGCATTTTGCAGAGGGAACTGCGTCCTACTGACTATACCCGTGGTAAGGATGACGTCGGCTCAGAGCATCCTCAAGAGTTTTGCGAGATGTGTAAACAACTGGGAAAGCATTGCGGAACATACAAATCAAAATAAAATAGCTAAAAGTACCTAATTTGTTACAAAACTGTGTTAGAAGAGTCAATCTGAATTGTTATGTCGATTTCACCCTTATATCCTTAAAATTAATGCACATAATCCTTTCGATTTAAAAATAAGACGTAATGAAAAAACTGCGTACCCGTACGTTAACCTTTTCGCCGCCAACGTACACAAAACGCAATGCCTCGCCGAGCGCCAAGCTATAAATGTGTAACTAAAATACAGTAAACAGATGGGGATATCGACGAGTAAGATTTGTATGCGAAAGTTAAGATTTAAAGTTGATTTTACGAATATAAATAAAAACAGATGAAATATTTCCAGATTGATTTTATTTCACAGTATCCTTAATAAGAAAAAACAGTATAAATTATGAGTATCAAAGAAACTAATACATAACTCAATTAGAACTATAAGGAAGGGGGTACATCTCTATTTGTATCATGATCTCATTCTTTAACTTCATATCAAGTTATTGGCACTGAGAGCACGTTGAATTCGATTCTGATTAGGGATGGGGTCTATGGTCTTTCTTCTTTATTCCTGTGTTTTTTAATAACTTCAGGTTCAGTCGACGTTTTTTTATCGTAGGTAGGCATCAAAGTGGCAAAATTTTTAATTGTTTTTATAGTTTTTTGAAATGAAAAGTAAATTCTATTTATAAGAAAAATATTTAAATTCTATAACGCTTGTAGCCGTATACTTATTAAAGCATTATTTTTTAAGTGCTGTTTCTGTTCTTTTCTTAGTCATGTATCGGTAGGTAGTTTACCCATCTGCGCGCGGGGGACCCCGCGCACAGATTGCGTTTCTCTATTTACCCACGAGACGACGGAACGGAGTAGGTATATGCGTTTATGGTGAGAGATGTTTGTGTGTGTGTTTGTACAAAGTAATATTCCCATCTATCTTCTAAAGTTTAGAATCTAAACCAATGATACGATTTTGATGCGGTTTTCAATAATTTTCAATACACACCGTGTTTGATGAGTCCACGGAATATAGAATACAATGGAAGTAGCTTGAAACAATATTTCTGCCAGAACCGGTGTCGCCAAACTAATACATTTATAATAATTTACTCATACTATAAATCGGAAGTTACAATTGGTTAGAAAAAAATGGGGCGTAAACGAAATGCAAACAAAATGTCATACGATATGCAACTTTAAAATCACTGAAATAAAAATCAAAATTAAAAATTATATTTTGGACTACCAAGTACCGCTATTCGTCGCTAGATGGCGTTTAACAATGCCATCTAGCGACGAAAAGTGGTACTTGGTTTGAACTTTAACGTCGTAAGAATAAAGGTGATATTTGAATGGCTTATCACTGGCTCGAATGCGGGTCTCTACTCAGATAGTGATGTAGCCTAATTCGATAAAAATAATATCGATAATATGAAAATGTGTTTTAAATATAATGTGAAAAAAATATTGACTGCGATAGTGTGACAGTATTAAAATAATAAAATTAATATGTCGTTGATAACTTTTTAAACGCAACAAAAAAGGGTAAGTATTTATTTGCATGTAAATCAAAAACCATTTTGTTCGTATTTTTTATTAGTTTTTCCAAAAAAAAATTTTTATTTCACATAGGCAATATAAGTAACAACTATTACATAATTTTTTACAAACTTTATATAGATAATGTGATAAGGATGACGGTGCTGATCTGCTCCGTGAAGTGAAGGTTGCTTCCAATCACGTCGGGGTCACCACTAAAATAATAATAAAAAAATAATCTAAATAAATGTTACATTACACTTGCATCGATATTAATCGATAAATATGTAACTTGACCACATCACTATTTGAGTAGCGTAGAACTGGCGAGAATGTTCTATTGAATGGAATAAATCCAAAATAAACTTTATCTTGAAGGCGTAAGGTTAATTTTGACTAACCGTTTTAGTAAATAATATTATTTTAATAACCGTTTTTGTAAATTGAAATAAAATAAGATTTTAACAAGAAAACAATGAAAATTGTACTTACCGATGATACGAAACACCTCCATTTTTACGATTTTTCGGCTGCTATCATTTTTACACGCCAAAACGGAACAAAACGGCATAGTTGAGGAAATATGTATTTGTCACGAGACTAGCAACTCGACGCCATGTTCGAACGAGACTGAACTCGAATTTGCCTCGAGTAAGCTGTACACTGCTCAGTTGTGGCACGCGTGCCGCGCCTACTTGCTACTTCCATTGTATTCTATATTCCGTGGATGAGTCCATGTTCTTAGACAGGTGCCATGGCTATAACTCACTAGGGGGCGCCACAATATTATTACAATATAATCAAAATGAAATGTCCGATTATAATACAGATACACGATCCAGGAGTAAATCTGACACGGTTTTTATTAATAATAATAAAAAATCAAGCTCTTCACTCATTTTTCTATTTGTTTTAAGTGAAAGAAAGAAAGATGCATGCGCGCGAATCCGATGTTGTGCTGCACTATGCCAAAGTGACCTTGACAGCCGCACGCCTATGACGTCACTGACCAACTTCTATAGGTAGTTATAGTAGTTCGTGGCGTCGCGGAGAACTTATCGGGTAACCGGGGCTCCGGCTCGACGCGCAGGAGAAGGAACGGGGTGGTTTTTAGTCAGTGAGAGTCTGACACTCCCTCCCGCCTCACCCAGGCGGGAGCAGTCATTCGATGATTTTCCCCCCTTAAAAAAAAATTGTAGTTCGTGGCACTGACCAATTGTTTTGTAGAGATGGGAAAATAACTATTGACAAGAATTGGTAACAACTTTATAATTACGTATCGGCATCTACTTGAAGGTCGAAACTCATCTATTATCCTTTGTAATGAAGTAGATAACTAAGTTCATATTTTATTGACCTCAAATTGTTTTCGATATTCGTAACTTTCTGTATTCATAAATATTTCAATGGTGAAATCAACCTTTCACGGCACATCACTGGCCAACTTGATATGAAGTGATTGGCGTTCTGAGGAATGTAACAAAATTCGGAGTTTCTGTGTTTTGCCGATTTTAGGACAAATTGCTTATTTTGTGTAGAAAAATAAAAAAACAGGGTAGTAGACAGTGCTATCTTAAATAACAAAATGAAACAAAGCTTTTAATCACAGTAAATTAATTTTAATAAGATAGGTAGTTAAAATGAACAACTTCTATAGAAGTTGTGACGCTGGTGGCACGAAAATCCCGAACTTCTATAGAAATGCTTGGCGAAGAAAAGGTTAGCAAAATCCTAAAAATCACAATATAATTAGATACTGTGTATTATACAATATGTTAGAATGACTGACTGGTATGCATTGACACTTATCGAAGTGATGAAGTGCAAGCTCAGAAGAATATAATTGAAGTGAATGTTCCACCCAGACCAGTTTCTCAGTCGTTCTCAATCTAAGCTGGAAGAGGTTAGGGGATAAATTAACATGACCAATTTTTTGATTTAGGATGATTATTATATCTCTATCAGCTATCAGTTTGCTGAAAACTGAAAATCGGAATTAGTTTTCCACTTTGAACTGAATTATAGGTTTATTTTTTTTAAGTACACAGTACCTACCCTCTCTTAGTGATTAATACAATTAAGATGAATGATACATACATGGTGATTGCACGGTGGTGTGTTTAGTGGTGCCATTCAAAAGATTAATAATTGTAATTGTTTTTTTACATTATGTTTAATGTAACTTTCATTGATATAATGTAGTTCTTTGTAATTTTATTTTATATTATGTATGCCTATGTGTATACCTATATATTTCTCAAGTCAAGATAGGCTTAAAAAAGAAAGGGTATTTAATTTTTGACCATTACAATAAAATAATCGTATATTATAATTGTTCTTATTTTGCAAGACAATAAATAAAGTCTGTTATTGTAAGATTGTGTTTATTGTAACCAGTGACACAATATTTTTATTATTAACCCGTAGTACACTTCTAGAGACAGATTTTTTAATAGACACATATATGTAATGTACTTATGATGTAAAGTAATAATCAATGATGAGTATTAAGAATTTTACGTATCGTCGTCATCTTGTCCGGCATCACCATTAAATGCACGGTTTACTATAGCTGCATAATTAGTATCTACAAAATAGCTTGGCACATCCGTGGTGTAGTTATTTTTCTTTTCGACTAGATAAGCAAACAATGGCATCAGTCGGGATCCGATTTCATCAATATCTTCTACGTTAGTATCTGCCAATAACTTCGATAAGCTAAATGCAGTACTTATGACATGTCGGTCGGTCAGTGGAACTTTAAAGAATTTGTACTGAAAAAAAAAATGAACTGGTTAAAGTCTAGTTTTTCTTAATAGTTATAAAATTTTGTAAGGGAATTAAATACCCGAATGACGTAGACCAGGTTTTGGATGCAGTAAAACAAACAGGCTCTCGTAGCAGGAGTGCGGGTCCCCTCAACTGCCTTCGCAATCATGCGCAGGGCTTCGTGAAAGACGCAGAGAACGTCAATGTCGTTAATGTGCCGGGTCAAGTTGTCCCACACCACACACCATTCATCCAATGTGCCTGAACTTAGTATCTGGGCATAGAAAAATTGCTGGTTAATACTTTATAAAAATGAACAAAAACATAACAGATTATGAATTCAAATTGCTTTCTTTTAATTTCTATAGATACTTATTGTTCAAAATAATAATAATCCATAGTTACCTGGGTAGCCCAAATTGATATTTCGCTGCGCTTAGTATCCTTATCAACCTGCATGCCACTGACAGCTTGAAAGAAGTTGGAACCTTGCCCACCTAATAGTTTTCTGAAGTAAAAGTTATTTTGTGGCTGCATATTTTTGCGTTTCAGTCTGATTCGCAACCAATCACCTTCATCATCTGCAATACACAGATACATAATTCATATTTGTAGTTAATTAGTATTACCTATTTGATTCATGACAATTCTAGACATATACCTCTAGTACAAAGCAGGGGGGCATGACAATACTTACTTGGAATTACAGTATCATATGTTTCTATCAAAGCTTTCTGAAAGCTCAAAGTGAGTTGAAGAGTCGATGAGGCCTTTGGCACAAATGCTTTGATGTTTCCCCAGCGGACCACCTCCAAGACTTGACTCAACATGGCGAGCATAGGAGCCCGGTATTCTAACAATTCTCGAATAGTGTAGGCCTCATTCAACAATTGCATCTGCACATGTATTTTTCCAATATCTTTGTTCAAAAGAGCTTTGTGCATGTGTGGCATTATAATTAAAAGGAGTAATTTTGTTCCTGGGAGTAAATTACTTATCTTCAGTCCATTCAAAAACTTCACTATATTATCTTGTTTAC